TGTTTCGACGACAGAAGATATAGTAGGTGCAGCGGATAGAAATGTTCAATGAGTTTCATCAAGATGGATTTAGTTTTGATTTGAGTCAAAATTAAGTTGGTGTAGCATGTCAAGAGAGAGAGGTAGATGAGGTTCCCAGAATGCCAAGGGCACTCATAGAAAGGTTAACAAAGGTAACACGTTTTATAGGCAAGGGCTCAGTTTTCGTTGATAAGGTCGCTATATTTCCTAGCTTTTCGTGTACTGTTTTTCGTCGATGTTGCTTTCGAACCCAACAAGTAAGCTCTAGCATGTAAAGGGATTCGATCTTCAGTTACGAAGACAAGATCTGTCGATAGAGTCGCCTGTGATTAAAGAAGGTGATAGAAATGAAGGCAGGTCGGCGTAAAGTGAGCTGTTTCTAGGTGTTGAAAGGATTTTAGCCAAATATAGAAGTACAGAATCATGTCTCCAGGTATACCTACCATGTTCAAATAATAATTCTTGCAGCTAGAGACTATGTGCTGTAATGATTCTGATTGGAGACAGAAAGAGCAGGCAGATGACTGAGTAATTGACCATTTGCAGAGGTTTTTCCTAGTGGCAAGAGTGTTGTTTAGGTATTGATGGTAAGTTGTAAATGTTTTTTATAATATAATAATAATAATAATAATAATAATAATAAAGGCATTTTATATTGCGCCATTTATCCACGCGGCCTCAAAGGCCCATTACATAATATTCATAAAACTAAATATCGTACTGGGTAGTATCGTCCTGGGTATGACGTAAAACTGCACCCGGTTGTGGAGTTTCAACGTGGGAGAATGAGGTTCCCCTTTGCCGCAACTACCTCCAGGTCACCCTTGGGCAAGGTGTACTACCTGTTAGCTCTCCCCGAGACCATGAAATGCCGGGTTGACATCCGGCGGGGGCTAGTCTGTCTCATGGGTAGGGGGGACTCTTTAACCTTGGTCGGCAACCCCCCTAGTGATGGTGTCACAAAAAAAATACCAGTTGGGAACTTGCTACAAAGAACGACCTTTTTTATGAGTGAGATGAATCAAAACAGTGATTTAGATAACAGCGTAAAGGAGACTGAAACTGATGGTGAAGGTCTCTCGCTCGGCAGGTGTCCCATGGAGGAGCAGCGTGGGCCCGGTCGTCATCCTACTACTGCCAGAACTGGATGGTCGAAAAGTATGAATGTAGCAGTAATGGAGTGCTATTTTTTGAGTAAGCCTGTAAATGATGACGGAAAACCAGTGAGAGGCTATAGACGCAGAATGCATAACATTTGGAGAGAGGGACATAGCTTCAATCTGACTGAACAGAGATTATGTGACCAAGCTCGCATGATTAGAAAGAACGGTTGGCTGACTCATGTGGAATTGGAAGAAATAAAAAGAAGAGTTACAACAGAAGAGGAAGGGGTGATAGATGATAGTAGCGTTGGAGAGGAGACTGTAATTAATGAGATACCAGTGACTGAGCCTGAAATAGAACCTGTGGTAACTTTCCTGGAGAGAAGTGAGAGAAGCGAAGCGAATACAAAAATGATAGAAGAAATTATTGAAATCATGAAAGAAGGGAACATAAGTCAATCACGAAGTCTGAAAAAGGCAGACAGAAAATCTGTGAATGAGGCTGTTAAGGAGGTAAACGACGCCTTGATAAGCATCAGAACGGAAAACATAACTGACACAAACAAACTGATCAGTGCTGTTGCATTGTATGTTGCGAGGAAACTAGGCATAGGGAAACCAAAGATAGAAAATAAAACAAGAGAACCATGGTGGAAAAGAAGAATAAGCGAATCTATTAATGAACTTAGAAAGCACATTAACATACTTGAGCGCGAAAAGAGAGGTGAAGTATCGAAGAAAGGGAAATACCATGAACTGTCAAAAAAGTATAACATCACGAGAAAAGGAATCTCTACTGTAATTGAAGAGTTGAAACAGAGAATGCAAGCCAAGGCTTTCAAACTAAGAAGGTACGAGCAAAGGACACGACAATACCAAATTAATCGAATGTTTCAATATGACCAAAAGAAGGTATATCAACAACTACAGGGTAAAGACAAAAAAGAGAATACAACACCAGATGCAGATGAAAGTAGAAAATTTTGGTCGAACATATGGGACAACGAAACACAGCACAATAAAAAGGCTAAGTGGTTAGAGGAGTTAAAAAACAACAAACCTAATCTATCACAAAATGACATTGAAATAACAACTAGAATGGTAAATCAGCAAGCCAAGAAGATACCTAACTGGAAAGCTCCTGGCCCTGATGGAGTCCAGGGGTTTTGGATAAAGAAACTTACATCTCTACACGAAAGAATTGCTGCCCAACTCAATGATTTGATAAATGATGAAATAGAAATACCCTCGTGGATGACCACCGGCAGAACTGTGCTATGTCAAAAGGATCCAAAAAATGGCAATGCAGTGGATAACTATAGACCCATATCCTGCTTGCCATTAATGTAGAAGCTGTTGACAGGAATCATCTCTGGAAATGTCTACACGTTCTTGGATGAGAATGAGATGTTACCTGAAGAACAAAAAGGCTGTAAAAGAAATAGCAGGGGTACAAAGGATCAGCTTCTGGTGGATAAGACGATTCTTGCTGATTGTAAAAGGAGGCATAAAAACTTAGTCATGGCGTGGGTTGACTATAAGAAAGCCTACGACATGGTTCCCCACAGCTGGATAATAGAATGTCTAAGGCTCTATAGAGTATCAGACAATGTTGTTAACTTTATAGAAAGATCGATGACCAACTGGAAAGTACAACTGACATCGTGTGGGGAAACTCTAGGGCTTGTAAATATTCGCAGAGGAATATTCCAAGGAGACAGCCTATCACCACTTTTGTTCGTCATTTGCATGATACCCCTTACCGAAGTCCTCAGAAAAGTCAAAATGGGATATACATTGGATGGTGTTAAGATCAATCACCTGTTGTTCATGGACGACTTGAAGTTGTTCGCGAAAAACGAGAATGAAATTGACAGTCTAACATCTACTGTCAACCTTATTAGTCAAGATATAGGAATGGAATTTGGGATAAAAAAGTGTGGTGTTGTGACCTTAAGAAGGGGAAAATTAACAGGAAGTGCAGGGATTGAACTTGTCAATGGGGAAAAGATCAAGGAGGTTGGTGAAGAAGGATATAAGTATCTGGGAATAACAGAGTTGGATAGAATAAAAGAAGAGGAGATGAAGAAAATATTTCAAAGAGAATATTTCAGAAGGGTTAGACTTGTCATGCAGTCAAAACTCAATGGAAGGAATAAGATTAAAGCAACAAATACCTGGGCAATCTCCCTGATGCGCTATGGAGCAGGAATAATTAAATGGAGAAAAGACGAGCTAGAAAGTATGGACAGAAGAACCAGGAAATTAATGACAATGAGTAAAGAACTTCATCCTAGAAGCGATGTAGCAAGAATTTATGTTAGCAGGAAAAAGGGTGGTAGGGGGCTGATAAGTTGTGAGTATTGTATTGAAAACGAGACAAACAACCTAGCTTGGTATGTGAAGCATGCTAGAGGCAATATTATGTCAAAAGTGAGAGACCTTGGGGCAATGAATACTGAGGAGGCAGTAGCACCGAATGAACATAAGAATGAGACAAAAAGGCGCTTGGAGAAACGATGGAAAGATAAGCCGATGTATGGGCAATTTACTAAGAATACTGACGGAATTGATTGGGAAAAAAGCTGGACATGGTTAAGGAACGGAGATCTGAAAGGGTGCACTGAAGCATTAGTGTGTAGTGCACAGGAGCAGGCGCTGCGCACTAATTATACCAAGCACTACATTGATAAAACAAGTGATACGCCTTTATGTAGAATGTGCCGTGACAAGGGAGAAACAGTAAGTCATCTGGTGAGCGAATGTGCTAAACTGGCACAGACAGAATATAAAAGACGACACGACAATGTGGCAAGGTATATTCATTGGTTGTTAGCGGAAAAGTGCGGATTTGAAAGAGCCACAAAATGGTATGAACAGAAACCTGAAGGAGTTTTAGAGAATCACAAGTTTAAGCTACTGTGGGATTTTATGATTCAATGTGATAGGGTTGTTGAAGCTAGAAGGCCAGACATTGTTGTCGTTGACAAGGAAAAAAAGGATGTGAAGATAATCGATATTGCCATTCCTGGTGATAATAGGGTAAAAGGTAAAGAACAAGAAAAAATTGAGAAATATCAACCATTAAAGGAGCAAATCGGAAATCTGTGGAATATGAAGAAGGTGACAGTCATCCCTGTTGTGATTGGGGCATTAGGATGCATATCATATTGTTTTGAAGAGCACATAGAAAAGATCGGAATTGATGTAAAGTTACAGGTGATACAAAAGACAGCACTGCTAGGAACAGCCAGGATTTTGAGACAGACATTGTCTATGTAAACTTGAGATGACAGAATGGGACCTTTGTCAGCTTGTTGCTGACTGCTCCCTCCTATATTATCCGGACCAATCAACACCTAGGTGTCTGTGAATCACTTAATTAGCCATAATAATAATAAAGGCATTTATATTGCGCCATTTATCCACGCGGCTCAAAGGCCCATTACATAATATTCATAAAACTAATAGAATGATATAACATACAGTACTACAAAGAATGCTAAAAAATGTTCGTAAAAATTTCGTAAAATAAATAAGATCTAATTAGAATATTCTTGAAAAAGATGCGTTTTCAGTCTGCTCTTAAAAGATGACTCTTAAAAGCATTTTTACATATTCTAACCTGAATTATTCTAAAAGCTACAACAAAAATGGACACAGCCAGTTAATACATTATTTAATGCTGATTTCTTCTTCCAGATATGTCAAAAACTTGAAGAAATAACAGAATATGTATAAAGAACATGTAAAAAAGACAGTCTTTCTGTTTCAGTGCCTAATTGCTGCTCAGCAAGTAGCTCATCATTATGATGATGAAGCAGGGACACCCTTGGCCACCCCTGAAACCCTTTTCTTTACCCCAATAATATCCATCCCCTACCACAATAAAAAAGTATACAACAGAAAATTAGATAAAAAATGTCTTTCTTTTCAGCTTTTCATTGCATCACCATTAATAGCCTATCCCTCCACATATCTTTGCTTAAGGTCTTACGAGTAATGATAGGCAATTGAATGTTGTTTCTAAGATAATGTTTACAATTTTAGTTTAGTCTGGGAACAGTTTAATTACTCTGACAAAGACAAGCATAAAACCAAGGCAAAGAGTTTTGTTTGCATACTAAATCAGACACAAAAGTTTGGAACAATTTGTTAGTTGTTAGCAAATGCCAACATGTCCATATTGCAGATTTTATTTACCTAATTTCAAAGAAAAATGTATAATCTAGGCAATTTTATTTTTCATGAATACTAACTTTGTTCACAAACCTGAAAGCATTTGTTTTTCAACTTCAATTACATACTTCTTTGCTTCCTCACAAAAGACTTCACCAACTTGTTCCAAAACGGCTGTTGTTGCACAGGGTAGTGTTTTCAGTAGCAGAATTGCTGATTTTGATTTTTCATAAATGCTTGCATCACGATGACCATTTATTTCAAGAAATTTGTGCAAATTTTCAACGACACTCATCTGGAGAAATGAAATAAAAACTTGAAATAAGACACTGACCATATGACCAGAAGACAAAAATGACTAAATCAAGCTTTCCTTATCTAACCCATGCAGATTTCAGGAAAACATGTGATGTCCATTTAATTGGTTGGGTACACTTCATATGGCCAATCTCTATGATAAAAAACTTGGAAGATATAAATGATGTTTTGCTATTCAATATTGAATTAAAGTGACCAAATATAAATTTAAAGAAACAAGTGGTAGTGTACTTGGTTGCCTTGATCGATTTTAATCAGTAGGTGTCCTTTGGATTTGTACTTTAACTCTAAAGGGAAAGGAACTGCATAAACTAAAGAAATAAGATTTTAGTTGTTAGCAGCTGCCTTTTGGATTCGGATTTTGGGAAATGCAGCTTGATAATGAAACTTATAACCAGTACCACAACAAAAAAAGACAAAGTAGTTCTTTTAGCTTAACTAAATTCTACAATTCCTTGTTACATTTTGGTAAATGAATTCAGTACATCATGAAAATCCTATTCAATCAGACAGTGCAGGAAAAGGTACAAATACATTAATTAGACACATCCATTAAATAAACATTTTGACTCTAGCTAGAGTCATCTTCAGTAAATAAAATTACAGGCATAAAAACTAGAAGTAAGGAAAGGCTAAACAAAGGGATCATAAATCATGTGATCTAGCAGTATGCTGCAGAGGAGCAATCACGACACAAGGAAAATTTAATTGCTATTACAAATCATTTTAAAAAGTTTACAATAGCATTTAAAACTTTTAGTTGGAAACTCACTTCAAAAACTCACTTCTACTTGCAATGAAGATTTAGAAGCATCTGTGCTGTTCTTTGCTTTATTGACAGTGCAATTATACCTTTCTCACACTGATGAATCAATTGACTATTAGGCTTTCATTCAAAGTCACAAGTTAATCTGGATGAGAAAAAGTTGATAATTATTTAGAAAAAAATTTGGACCTGTCTTGTTTGTGGAAGTTTTTATCCTGCTCATTACTTTTAATTTTTATCTAGCGTGTGACAGTTATGAAAAAATACATCTGCACAAATCACAATTTCCTTGAGACACTCAGAACAAATAAAACTCCATTTTCCAACTAAAATTTACTAATAATCTAACCAGCAAGCTATTGAACTGAGCAGTCTTTGTCGTTTAATGCGTGCGATCGCACATGCACGCATCAGCACACGCATGGCACCAATAATGCGAGCGATTGATCGCACGCATGAGTTGTATATTTGACCGTTGTTTTTGACCTGAATAAAAATGTTTTCTTCAACGAAACTTTGGAGGTTTTGTCTTTAATAAGCTCAGGAACATCGGCTAATTCTTTAAATAGTGCTTATTTTGGCTTATCGCTTTTCTTTGTTCAAATTCCCCCGGAAACATGGCAGTCGTCAGGTAGTGTCCAAAACTGTTACCTTCCTGTTTTCACCATTATCAGGGTAAATATCGATAAAATTGCTCAGAAGAAAATGGGCTTTTTTATCATAGATGTGAGAGGCAGGTGACAAATAGACCGGCAAAAAGAAGATCTTCCGACAATCAAGGTTAATATCAATCTAGTGATGTAGATAGGAAAATTCATAAAAAGGGCAAGAAATTTAGATTTTCCGACAAAAAATTTATAAAAGCACTTTTTTCAAAATTTTGTACATAACTTAACGTAAGTCACGTGTCATAAATCATACTACTCGAAGATTTTTCTTGTCTTTTTTCTGAAAAAGACATTTTTAAGTTCTTTACCTTATTGAAAGAGACTGCCAATCTGATTCAGAACAACAGAAGAGATCGCCATATTCAGCTTTAAAATATTTCCTCTTAAAAATGTAATATTTGGATTTAGATAGACAACCA